GCTCGCAGAGGAGCTGCGCGGTCGGAGCAGACGGCGCCCTCCGCAGCGCCGACCTGCAGCCGGCGAGGCTTTGCGGCGTCGCACACGGTTACCGCGGCAGCAGCCAACCAGCCTGCCCGGGACGCCCCCGCCCTGGCCCCGCCTCCCTTGCTGGTGATTGGAGGAGGCGTCCTGTCACATGCTCCCACGGACCAATAAAGAGGTGCTCCAGAGGCTGGGCTCAGCCGACGCTCCAGACTCGGGGGAGGGCGGTAGGGCTGAGTAAAGCCGAGGCTTCCCTCGCTCTTCCGGGTTGAACAGGCTCTCAGCGGCTTCCTCAGCAAAAGGGAGAGGAGGGGAGACGGGAAGGGGAAGGAAAGACATCTAGCCAGCCCTGGAGTGGATTCATTGCCATTCTTGAAGTGCCAGCCCTTGTGCATACCCCAGGAGGTGGGGCTCGGCACGCACCCAGGTCACCTCTCTGCAGAAGATTCCAGAAACGTTCAGTGTGAGGGCGGCACGGGCGCGCTGCCACCTCTCGGAGTTCTCATACCTAGAAATAAGAATCGGCCTGGGAGGTTACAAAATTAATATATTCTGTGGTTGGTTTATTTTTGATAAACCACCCTTGTGGGCTCAGGGCGTGGGCGGTTCTCACAGATTGTTGCTGTTCCTACGCCCACAAACAGATGGAAATAAATGCTCTAGGTAGGTCACTTTGCGAGATACACAGTTGAACAGGCTGAGGATGTTTTGTCTTTTTTTCCCCCCAGAAACAAATGTTCTGGGCAGAAAAGGGGCTGGGCTAGTTTCATGTTGTTGCATATCAGTTTATTGCTGGGTAACACATCACCCCAAAACTGAGTGACCTGTAACATCTAGCTATACACTAGAATATTACTCAGTCATGAAAAGGAGTGAAGCACTGACACTCTGCATTGTGGATGGACCTTGAGAACATGATGGTCAGTGAGAGAAGCAGACACAGAAGGACACGCAGCGTGTGAGTCCATGGATGTGAGACGTCCAGAACAGGCCAGTCCTCAGACACAGGGAGGGGGTTCCTGGTTGTCAGGGGCTGGCGTGGGGGAGTGAGTGACAGCTCAAGGGGATGGGCCTCCTTGTGAAGTAATGGAATGTTCTGGAACTAGACAGAGGTTGTGGTTGCCCAACATTGAGAGTATACTAAATCCCACTGAACTGTTTGCTTTAAAATGGTTACTTTCATGTTATGTCACCTCAGTAATAATAATAACAATAAAGATAAAACCCACAGTGCACACTCGCATCTGCCTCCTCCCTTTCACCAGCTCCTCCCTTGCCTGTGCCCCATTCCTCCAGATTCTCCAGGGAGTCTTCCAGTTTTCCCCTCTCTTTTGTGCAGAACAATTTCTCCTCTACAGCCAGGTGTGTGCCCTCCCTGATGGACCCACCAGCTCCGCCATTTTGTTCCTTTACCACATCTTTCCATGAAAGCACCAGGCTGATCATTAAACCCGAGGCAGGAAAGCATCCAGGCATGTGGTGGAGGGAAGAAACAAGGCTGATGGTTTCATTTTTTTCTGCAGGAGCATACATGTATGTAAATGGATAGAAAAATCCAGGGGACCTTTGACCTCCCGAGGAAGGGAGGGGACCAGAGACAAGATGTGCTGCCCTGGGAATTTAGCTTCATCTGTCAGCTTGCAATGTGGAAATTGACAGCAGGTGGTTCACAGGGACAGGTCCACCCATGATGCCCAAGGGTGGCCTCTGGTTCCTGCTGCCGGGCACCTGGTCTCTGAGTATGTCCCCCAGCCCCCAAGTGTCCCAGGTGCAGTTGAGCCAACTTCCCAGCCTCCACCATGTCCTCACTGCTGGTCCGTTAAGTGAATGTCCCATACTTTGGATTTTTGGTCACGGCAGAAGCCCCCTCTAGTACGAATTTCTGTGTTGGTGAAACTCTGGCCCGTCTGTCTCTGCCACAAACAGCAGGGGGCTCAGATCATGCCGGGCTTGAGTGCCCCCTTGCCAAAGCTCCTCAAACTCCCCCAGAGAGAGGGAGAGGGTAGGCTACAGAGACAAGCTTTTGTTTTGTTTTTGTTTTTGTTTTTAATGGAGGAAAAACAAATCCAAACTAAAGTCTAGGTTGAACAGTCAGGCTACAAGGCAAGGACTCCCACCTCCCATGCCCCCTGCATGCTCTCCTCTAGGACTTCCCCTCTTGGGGAGCAACAGGAACAGAAATGGAACCTGGGTCTTGGACATCAACATGCAGTGGTCCACTCTGACCCTCAGGAATGCTAGATGCTCAGCAGCATATGGACGGCATGCTGGAGGTGCTGGCGGGCAGCTGGGGCACAGCCGTGACTCCGCAGGATGGCCAGCGGGTAGGAGGTGCCTGGCTGGCCCTGTTCCCAGACTGTGAGCAGCAACGCTTCGCCCCCACCACTCAGCACCAGTCGAGACTGGTTGCCGCAGCAGCTGACCTACCGAGAGAGGAGGAGCCAGCGTCACGGGGAGAAGGGGCCCTGGGCCGGACAAGTGGACAAGAGACTGAGGGGCCCTGACCTGCATCTCAGTGGTTGCCTCACCCTGTTCCTCTGGATGGGGAGCCCAGAGCTCTGCTGCACAGAAAGCAGACTGAGGCCGGGAGGGCACTCCCCTGCCCCCAGTCACCCGGTGAGATCTCCTCTTCCTAAGTCTGTGACCTGGGGATGCCAGCCTCCCCCTGGCCCAGTGTCCCCAGCTGTGGGCAGGGCCATTTGAAGACAGTCCTCTCTCTCTGGGACGCAGCCCAGGTCAGGGCACTCTGGTCTGAACGGAGAGGGAGTTTCCCTGTAAATAGACACTAACAATTTTTCAAACTAAAAAGTTTTGTCATACTTCTGTGTTTGAAGTCTGTTTTAGGACTGGCTATGATTTCTCAGAAACTGCCGAGACTGCTCGGGAAAACCTCACCCGAAAGCCAAGCTGTGATGAATGAGCTGCCGTTCGACAGCTGGTCCACGTCGCCAAAGGGGAAGACGTCCCCAGGTGATGTTCTGCCGCCTCTTAAACGCAAGTTATTTCTGATTTTGCCAGTTTGGGACCTAGGAGTCAGTCCCGCCTGCCCCAGCCCGGGGCCAGCTGTTTCCTGGGGCTTCCCTGAGAGCGGGCAGCCTCCCAGGCCTGTTGGGGTCGGGGGGCTCACTCACCTGCACGGACCCGTCACTGAAGAGCAGCAGAAGGGCCCCCTCAGACGCCACGAAGCGCAGCAGGCAGAGCCCGGGGCCAGCTGGTGGGGCGGGCAGGGGCGGGTCCCCCTCCTGCGGGCAGACCCAGCCTTAGGGTCGGGGTCCCCCCGCCTGGCCCCACTCCACTCCTGGCACTCACCTCTCGCCGCCGCTGCTGCATGTAGCGGGCAAAGAGCCGCAGGATGGCCAGCTTGGCGCCCAGCAGGCCGGGCACGTCCCTCAGGGCAAACGTCTCCAGGTTCCCCCGGTGGGGTGCATAGCAGACTTGGCTGGGGGTCGGGTGCAGGCAGTGCCAGCTGTCAGGGCCTCTGTCTCGGGCACCTGACACCCGAGGACACCTCCTCACGCAGCTGTGCCCCTCGGATGGTGATCTGAAGGCCAGCACTGCACAGGCCAGCCCTCTCTGTACGTCCACCCGGCCCTCCCCGGGACCCCAGAGCCCCAGACCCATGGAGCCACGGGCTCAGCCCGTCCACACTGAGATTCTGACCAACTCTGACACCTGCCCTCCCGCCGTATACCTGTCTCGCCTGGGGTCTGCTCCATTGTTCCCACCTGCAAACTAAGTCCCAATTCTAGCCTCTACCCAAGTCACCGCCGTTGGCTGCCCAGCTAGTCCAGTCATCTGCTGGTCCTGTGTCCCTCCTTTTAAAAGTGTGGGTCAGACCCCTCCTTCCTGCCCCAGTCCCAACAGCGGCCTGTGAGGCTCTATGACTTCGTGTCCTCCCTGTCTCCCCCAGCTCACTCCAGAGTCCCTGCCGTCCTTCAAACCCATCATGCTCGGTCACTTCTTGAGGACTTTGCATGTGCCATTCCCTGTGCCTCAAATGCTGTTCTCAAAGGCTCTTTCTCATCATTCATGTCTTGCCTGAAAGTCACTTCAGAAAGCTCCTCCACAACCACTCTGTCCAGAGTCGCCTCCACCCCCAATCTCACCTTACCCACTTCATTTCCTTCAGAAAACTGCCACCTGAAATCAACTTAGTAATTCATTTGCTTAGCGTTATTCTCCCCTACTGGGCAGTAAGCGCCTGTAGGTGTGCACAGTAGGTGCTTAATACTTGCGGAATGACAAGAAAGGCAGTGGGGAGGGCCTGGCCCCCAGGGGGATAGGAACTCCACGACTTACCCCCCCGGGGGGCGCAGAGCCATGTGGGTGCCATCCCGAAGCAGGACGCCGCTGCCCCCATCTGACAGCTGGTAGCCAAAGCCGTACTTGCTGGAATAATCCACCCACTCGGGGGCCCAGCGGACGGGCCGCCGCTCTCCTGGGGGGCCCTGCACGGCTGGGCACGAGGACGAAGCGGCGTGAGCAGGGGCCCTGGAGGGGGGCCGGTGGAGGGACAGCCTAGGCACAGGAGACGGGAGAGCAGCCCAAGGCGGAGGAAAGCTGCTCTCGCCTCGGGGAGGGAGGACAGCGGGGCGCCGGGGCCAGGCTGCCTCTGGATGTGAGCGAACCCGGCCGGCGTGTGAGGTTCAAAACACTCTGAGGCTCTGCTTTATTTCATTCCCAGTGTTTCGTGTTAAAAAATAAAAACTGCTCAAGGCCATGTGGGACCCCGGATCCCATCCCAGGAGAGGAGCCAGGGCGGCGGTGGGAAACCTGGGGAAGTCCGGCAGCCGGGAGGCTGGGCCCAGGAAGGCGGGCCTCTGCTGCTCACAGCTTCTCAGGGTCTCTTGTGCTGCCCTACCTGGGGGGCCGGAGTCCAGGCAGAGCCGCAGGTTTCTGATGGCCGCCTCCACCTCCTGCCTCGGGGTCTGCTCGGGCCCTGGGGAGACAGAGCTCTATGTTGAGGGGGACAGAGAATCCAGGCCCCTCCGCCCCATATGGGGTCCCTCCAACCAGCCCTGCCCCAAATATCCGGGAAAGTCTTATCTTAAACCCAGAAGGATTCAGGCTTCATTCTCATTTTACATGTGGGAAAATTGATGCCAGGAGGGGGCTGTGCTCCTGGCACTTGTAGACCGCCGCTCCCTGCCCACAGCTCCTGCCTAGGACAGAGTCTCCTCACCCGCCGGGTCACTCCGGAGGGTCCCCTGGGTGAGCAGGTGGATGGGGCCCTCGGGGCACAGAGCTCTGCTCTCTGACAAGGAGGCCTGTGGAGGGAGCAGCAGGGGTCAGCAGCGGCCCCAGCCCCCAGGAGACGCGGAGGTGGGTGACGGGCTCTATCCTGCCTGCTCTGAAGACCCCCTGACCCCTCTGTGCCTAGCCTGGTGGTGAGGACGCCCTCACATTCCCCACTGCCTTGCAACCTCACCTCACTGCCCCACTCCATGGAGTCAGGGTCGGAACCATCTTCTCCTGGACCTGAGGCCTCCGTGGGGGTGAAGGGGCCTGCAGGAGGCACAAGGATTTGGGGAAACAGAGCCTAGCCCCGTGCAGGGAGCATCTCCACCTCCGCCGTGGAGGTGAGGTTTCAGAGCAGGTAGCAGGTGTGACGGTGTGTGAGAGGCAGGCCAGGAAGGAGCACGTGAGGGGTGGGCAATGTGGACTCACAAGGTGGCCAGCACTGGGCCAGCAGCAGCCTGCCCACCTTCCGGAAGAGCCTGCCCAGCGGCGGGGGGATGGTGAAGACGGGCGGGCTGTGGCAGCAGTGCGGGGGCAGCCGGTCCGGGGTGAAGCCCTTTGGAGTAGGCAGTTGGGGGTCAGTCCCCAGGCTTCCTGGGAGTCCTGACCCTCGCCTGGGTCTGTGGAGACACCCAGAGAAGGGCAGCCCCACCCACTGACACCCCACCTGCGTGAAAAAGTCGTCCTGCAGCAGGTGGTCCAGACTGGGCCGCTCAGCCGGGTCGGGCGCCAGCAGGCGCGCGATGAGGCGACGTGCGCTGGGAGACAGGTGTGCAGGCTCTGGGTAGCGACCCTCTCGGATGTTTTGGTACATCTCTGACAGGGGCGCCGCCACGAAGGGAGGAACGCCAGTCAGCACGGTGTACCTGCACCGGGTAGGGGTGGAACCTGGGTGCCTGCTGGCATCTGTCCTGGGCATCCAGGGTTGGCTCACACCTACCTGTGCACACCTGGCCATACCTACCCACACATCCCTACTCCATACCTGCATCAACTCCACTTCCCCACACCTGGCTACCCCGCTCCCACCCGGCCCTTCCTGTCTGCTCAGAAGACTCCAGCATCTCTCTGGACACCTGCCTGCACCTGGGTTACACCTGTATACACCTGCATGTACCTTTCCAATTTTATTTTATCCGTGATTACACCTGTTCCACTCCCACATGTGCCTCATACTTGTACCTCTCCCCTGATCTATCTCCCTGTGTACCTGCTGCCAGCACACACCTGTCCCCACCCGTGTGCATGCCCATACTGATCCTGCACCCCACACACATCCCTTCATAAGCCCTGTTCATACCTGCACACGCAAATGATGGCAGGTGCGTGCCCCTGCCTCCCCCCAGCTGCACACACCAGTCCTGTGTTCGCTCATACCTGTCTGTCCCCCACTCAGTCTCCCCTGCGCATCCTTGCACCTGTGCTTACCTGCCCGCTCATGCTGCCGCCTGCCCACACTGGCCCCTCCCTGGGCAGTCATACCCCCCTTTCCCAGGGGGCCACTCACATGATGCAGCCCAGAGCCCAGATGTCTGACTGGCAGGAATGCCCGTTCCTGGACACAACCTCTGGGGCCAGGAAGTTTGGGGTCCCGCAGAGCACCCTGGGAGAGATAACGGGGGCTCAGGAAGGCTGGGGTCCCTGTGCCACTCCTGGCCCACCGGCACCCACCCAGATAGCCTGCTCCAAGCCTTCCAGTCACCTGTGGCAGCGGCCCCCGGGTCCCACCCTGGTGGCCAGCCCCAGGTCTCCGATCTTCACCTCCATGTTTTTGTTCAGAAAGAAGTTACCTGCAGGGGGTGGGGCTCCGCGTGAGGGCGAAGCCACGCCCAGGCCCTGCAGGGCCTCTCCCCCACACTCACTGAGCTTCAGGTCCCGGTGCACGATCCGCCGCTGGTGCAGGTAGCTCAGGCCACTGACCAGGCCCCGCAGGTAGTAACGCACCTCCGGCTCTGTCAGCGTCTGCCGCGCCTCCAGCACGTGGGCCAGTGACTGCAGGTGGCCGGCAGGTACCCAGGAGACACAGGTGAGCTCAGGTTAGGGGGCACAGTGGGTTTCAGGGACCCGGGAAGGCAGAGGTAAATTCAGCGGGGCTGGGGGGCGTGGCTATGGTGGGCGGGGCAAAGGTGAGCTGAGATCCCAGAGAGGAGCCCAGGCAGCGGTCAGATGGGCGGAGGAGGCCAACGCAAGGGGATCATGCTGGGCACAGGGGAGCTCAGGTGCACTTAAAGTTGGCAAAGTGAGTTCAAGGGCGTCTATGAAGGCCCAACTAAGTTCCGCCTGGCTGAGTGCTGTGGGAGACCTAGGTGGGCCCGGAGGCCATGATGAGTTCTGAAGGGCCCAAGTGGCCACAGAAACACCTGGGCCTGGTGTGCCTAGGTGAGTTGAGAGAGCCTCTGGGTGGGCAGGTGGGCAGACCTTCGAAAAGGATGAGCACAGCTGGGTGTGGTGTGGCCACAGGTAGAAACAGGTAAGTACAGAGAGACACGGGGTGGGGGGAGACAGATGGGCGCGGCACGTGTGGACCGGACGCAGCTCCCTCTCTGCCCCGCCCCCGGGGCACCTGGTGGCTGCAGTATTCCAACACCATGTACACGTGGTCACGGTCAGCAAAGTGTCCGTGGAAGGCCACGATGTTGCGGTGTCGCAGGCGGCTATGCAGGGCGATCTCGCGCTCCACCTGCAGGCAGGGCCCCACGTGTACACCCCCTGCAGGTGCGCACACCTGAGGTTTGCATGCCCGCGGGCGTAACTCCCATTCCCAGGGCAGAGGCCTCTCAGAAGACCCGCTGTGGTCCCAGGACTCCTGGGCACTGATGCGAGGGGCCTACCTTGCCGCGGGGGCGCAGCCGCCCCGCCCCGCCCCCACCACGAGGAATCACTTTGAGGGCAAACACCGCACTGGTGGACATGTCCGTCAGCTTGTAGCAGTGGCTGAAGGCGCCCTGCAGTGCAGAAGGTTGACGAGCTCAGTGGACGGGTGCACACAGGTGTGGGGACAGATGCCCAGGCCTCTCCACACACACAGACACCCCCGAGACACATGGATGCACAGTTCACACCTTCACACCTGGACACACAAGGCAGCGCAACACACAGACCCTCACGAAGTCACAGGGACTGATTCGCTCAGACAGACACATTCACACTTGGATGCCTAGAGCCCACGGTCCCCAGTACAGTACCTGGACACATGGAGCAACGCACACGGTACGACACATCCAGACACACACTCACGGGCTGGGTCCCAGCAAAGCCTCCGAGACCCGTAATGGTAGGGCGCACACCCACAGCCTGGACACGCAACCCACGACGCAGCACGGCGCGCCCGCATGGGTTCCCGCCACCCAAAGCGCGCCGCACAGCGGGCACATCACAGACCTGGGCGTGC